GAGGAAGGACGGCACGCCGCCACCATACAGGGATTTTAAGGAGGGGAGTGTGGTACTAGCCGTCACCCACCCTCGGGCGTCTACCTCTTCCTACCTATATGAACCTATCTCTCTCTGGCTGTAAGCCGTCGTTGCCCGGCGCTGCTTGCAGCACCATGGCGATGGCGCTAAGAGGTTCCTCTTTTCCGCGCCCCCCCCCGCAAGGCGCGCGATACACACACACACACTCTCTCTGCTCTCTTTGCAGTCTCTCGCCGATTCTCGCAGCGACCTAAGACCTTCCCGCCTCGCGATCTTCTCACTCTCGTCGTTCTCTCTCCTGCTGTTTCATCCTCTGACTCATCGCTCTCCTCGGCCTCATCGCTCTGCTGGGACGCACTTGGAGCACTTAGGAGTGCAGTCGGTAACCTCACATCCAGGGCCGAGGAGCTAAGAAGCGCACCCAGCGGGCCGGATGGTCGGTATCGGGCTACGGGCTAGAGAGCCCTGACCCCTAGGGGGAGTGCGCGTTCGCAGGGAAAGGGCTGTAAAGTAAACACGGGTCTCCGAGGGTTGGCTCCGCGCTCCGGGTTTCCCCTAGCAGCAGACCGCCCCCTCTACTCGGAGCTATAATGGACACCAGACCTGAACACGACACACACTCTCACACGACGTCACCGCTCAGGGCCCCTTCGCGCGGGGTCCTCATCCTCACTCCGGAGGAGTCTCCCCTCTCCTCTGAGTTCTTCCTCCTGTTCGCCTTCCGATGATCATCCGACGGGCGCGGGGCCCGACGTCCCCTCCTAGCCTTTTTCAGCCGCGGCCCCGCCACCGTCTCGTCTTCTCTGTTGAATTCTGTCGCCATCACCGACGGCGATCCCATGCCCGACTCCCTGGGCGCGGCCTTGGGTCGTGTCGCCACCCCTCCCCGGGACGGGAGGTCGGGTCCGCTCCCCTGGTCGACGAGTCGCGCCCGCACCCGCGGCCTCTCTATCGTCCAGCTCGCCCCCCCCCTCCGCCTTTTTGTGAGCCGCACAAGTGATAGACTCACATGGACAAGTTCCTGCTCAAGGTGCGACCGCGCGCGTCGGAGGAGCCCGAGGCGGACACCCCCACGGAAGCAGTCGCGCCGGAAAACGCCAAGAAGCAGCGGACTGCGGCAGCGCCGATTGCTCTGGCAAATGCTGGCATGAACGGCTACTTCGCCGGTGAGCCGCCTACAGGCTACGTCGTTGGAAGCGGCAAACTCAAGCTGCTCCCGGCGATTGCTCCGAGGCACCACCTGCGACAGGTATTTGGAGCGGGGTGCGTGCGCGGGCCGGTCATGGAAGACGGGACGGCACCGACCTGCTCGCAGATTGGCACGCCCGATCGGCCAACCATGGGGCGACTGAATCAGGGATCGAACCATCGGGCCACCCTGTCCAGCGTGCGCGCCCACCGCACTGCGATGGAAAGCCTGCTGCCTGAGGGTCGGCCGCTCGTGCTGGTTGGGATAGGACCCGGCGTCGACAACGCGTGCGAGTCTTATCTCGAGCACTACAAGGCGCGGGGTCAGGCGCGCCAGCGGCTTCCGATGCCGGGCCCTGTTCCAAACCGGCCAGACGTCGTCGGCTTCATCTTCTTCACCCCGATCGTACCCTCGGGAGATGCGTTTGAGGAGCGGGCCAGTGCGTTGCTCGCCTTGCCGGCACACTGCCAGGTGCTCGTCGTCACCGGGTCCAAGGACAAGGACAACCTGGCCGGCCTCCGCGAAGTTGCCAGGCGGATGGCGTGCTCGCCGCAGATCCACGTCGTGGAGGGCGGCGAGCACAACCCGTTCGAATCAGTGCCCCACGGGGAGATGGAGGGCAAGAATGCACGCACCCGCGCCGTCCTCCAACGCTTTGTGAACCAGCTGCCGTCTAGCGAGCCGGAGCGGCACGGGGATCACGCGGCTCCGTGAACCGCGCGCCGTACTGCGTTCGCTCGTGCCACGCCCGCGCCGGCCGCACACCTCACGATTCGTGTGGGAGACAGCAAGAGCCACCTGCTCGTGTGGAAAACAGAGCCCTCGGGGGTGTTTTCCGGTTTTGCCCCAGTCCGTTTTTGCCCTTGGCCTTGTACAGTGTGCTGTGAGAGAGGCTTGTATTTTAATATGTATGTATTTTAGGGGCGTCGGCTCGATTGGACGGAGGGTGGACGCGTCCAGAGGGAGGTCAGGGGACGGCTCCTCCGTGAGGATTTTGCATCTCCAATGGCGGATGCATATACTGAGAATCCGCGCGTCCACTGTGGGTTCCGCCTCCCTGTAGGGGATCCCCGACCCACACTGGAGCCGAACCCAGGCGTGTCACGCTCCCATACCCCCCCAGTGTCCCGCTCCCATACCCCCCCTGCCAGCTGTAAAGAAAGGACCAAGGGAGCAGGGGTGGGCGTTTCAACTGCGAAAGCAGGCCAAGAAAGGGCAAACTCCGCGCTCGTGCTAAAGGTTGATGACCCCGAATTTACCATTGATCCCGCTTATTGAGTCGACGAACAGCTGGCAGACGAACCGCCCCTCATTCACGTTGACAAAGTTGGACGTAGCCGCCGAGACGTAGCCGGAGTAGTGGACGCAGGGGTGGCCCTCCCACGCAGTCTCGCCGACCGCGCAAGGGCGGTGCTCCTCCAGAGCGAGTGACGGGTAATCGTGGCCGTGGCCAAGAAAATCAAAATATTAAGCTCTCTGTTTGGACCACGGCGAAAAACTCGACGGTTTTGGGCGTTTCAGAGCACGCTGAATCGATTGGCTGAGCTAGAACTCTCCCTCTCCCTTCCCTTTCATAATTATTGACTCAAAACTCGATGATCGCGCGACTTTGGAGAAGTTCTAGCTCAGCCAAAACGTTCCTCTCGAAAAATTGACTTAGGAAGCCGCAAACGGCAGCTTCTCAAAGCCTCACCCGCGCTTATTCTCTTGATCTTTCAAAACCTAGGCCTGCGGCCAAAATTTTCTAAAGGCCGCTGCGCGGCCAGCGCAATGCGCAACCAGTCAGCGACCGACAGTCAGCAGCAGACTGTGACGATTGGCGGCCTCGCGCCCTCAGTCGACCTCCTCTACCAACTCCCCTGCCCAGCCCATATGCCTCATCCAAGGTGGCGCAACCACTCGCGCAGGGAGAGAGAGAAAGTCGGCGATCTGCGCCGCGCAGATGAGCTCCGCCTCGTCTGCGTCGAGGTCGCCCATCGCAGGGCTGTCATAGCGCCATATGACGCACTGCCTGTTGTTCATTACTTCGCAGGTGCCAACGTCGAGGACCATCTCACCCAGCGATGGCGAAGGCTGCACTCCCGGCCGGCGGTAGGCGAGATGAAGGCTAATGTACTTAGCCGGCGGCACTGCCCTCGTTGGCCCACTTGACAAAGCTCGGCGGAATCTTCGATTTCTTTGGCGTAGGGGACCAAAAACCCTGAAATTTTCTTCGCCTGCGGCGGGCAATTAATTTCGCTACTTTCGCTTTCACAGCTCTTTCACACGACTTTATCCGTCACTCGCTCTCCACCTTGAAGACCGAGATGCCCCAAGCCTGGTCGTTCTGTTCGTCAGCGCCGCACGTCGACGTCGGCTCGAGCAGCGCGATGTTCTTGTGATCCCACGCGCTCGAGACCAGCGCGTCCGCCTCTGCCGCGTCGCCCTCGATGGTCTTTGCGAGGTGGTGAGGAAAGTCGGTGAACTTGACCGCCGTCTGCGGGTAGTAGTTGAAGGAGATATCGGCCATGAAGTGGGCCGCGGTATCGCCCTCCGTCTCGCTCGCCGCGACGTCGCGCTCCTTGATCACGACGTTGAGGTTCGAGCAGAAGCCGGAGGTGGCGATCAGCCAGGCGGGGTCGTTCACCACGTCGGGCACGGGCGGACGGGGCTCGGGCGCAAAGGCGAGGCCGCGAGCGGTTGGGTTGACGTTGTGGACGGTTTCTGCCTGCGCACTCGAGTGATGCGTGTAGGCTCAGCCTGCCTGTGAGTAACTGCGGCTGGGCGGAGCGACGCACCGGCAGGGCAGACGCCGACAGAGCGACGGACAGAAGCGAGGCAGCCTTCAGCATGGCCGGACAGCCCAAAAGCAGTACCCCTCTGCCGCCGGCCGCCGTTTTTCAAAGCGAACACACACACACACACACACACAAAACAAATCTCTCTCTCTCTCTCTCTCACACACACACACACACAATTTGTTGGCGTCTGTTGAGTATTCTTCTCTCTCTCTCTCTCTCTCTCTCTCTCTCTATCTCTGTGTGTGTGTGAGAGAGAGTTTTGTTTTGTTTTGTGTGTGTGTGTGTGTGTGAGAGAGAGAGAGAGAGAGAGATTTTTAGCAATACCAAACAACTCTAACGTTTTTGTTTGTGTGTGTGTGTGTGCAAGCAAGGCGGACACACACGTGACAATTGTGTGTGTGTGTGTGTGTGTGTGTGTGTGCGTGTGTGTGTGTGTGTGTGTGCGTGTGTGTGTGTGTGTGTGTGTGTGTGTGTGTGTGTGTGTGTGTGTGTGTGTGTGTGTGTGTGTGTGTGTGTGTGTGTGTGTGTGTGTGTGTGTGTGTGTGTCTGTGTGTGTGGGGGGGGGGGGGGTGAGTGAGTGTGAGTTGTGAGCGAGTGAGTTCATGTTTGTTTTCTTGTGGCTGCATCTCTCGATCGCATCTCATCTCATATACTATATCTCGGCTGTACCTCGGCTGTACCTCGGCTGTACCTCGGCTGTACCTCGGCTGTATCTCGGCTGTGCCCTCGGCTGTATCTCGGCTGTACTTCGGCTATATCTCGGCTATATCTATCTCGGCTATATCTCGGCTATAACCTCGGCTGTACCTCGGCTATTTCTCGGCGGGTCTCCCACCGCGCGATGCCTCAGAGGCATGGTGGGAAGTTAGATCGCTGGAGTTTAAGAGCGAGGTCTTTGCGCCGAAAAAGCGCTCAAGAAGAAACGCGCGGGCGCAGGCTTCGCTATCGCCGTCGCGCCTCTCCCCGCCGCCGTGACGCGACGCGTCCCAGGCGAAGGCATGTGCTCCTAGATGGCGGACACGGTCTCACTGCTGCTGCAGGGGCTGCGCTCTCCAGAGGCGGAGGCGCGGTCCGAGGCTCTCCACGCCTTGCGGGAGCTGGTCGGCCACGAGACGATCGAGGCCGGCGCTCTGCCCGAGGAGGAGCGGACGTACGTGTCGGCCGTGCAGCATGCACTGCCCGAGATGCTCGGCTCGGCGCTGCCCTACGAGCGCGCGGGCGGCCTGCTCGTGATCGACGTGCTGCTCGAGGCGGAGGCGGACGAGGACGAGGAGGCGGGCGCGCGGCTCGCGCGGCTGTGCGACTACCTCCGCCTCGCGGTGTCGCAGGCGACGCACGACGAGTCCGCCCTCGCCGCGTGCGCCGTGGTCCTCGGCCGGTGGGCCCGCGTGGGCGCCTCGCTCGCCGCCGACGCCGTCGACGCAGAGGCGCGGCGCGCGCTCGCCACGCTGCGCGAGGAGGGCGCGGCGGCGGCGCGGGCCGCCTCCGCAAGCCGGCGCGGGCGGCTGATGGCGTCGGGCGGGCTCGGGGGCGGAGGAGGCAGAGAGCGCGCCTCGTCAAACTCCTCCGAGGCGCGGCTGCTCTGCGCATCGCTGCTGCTGCGCGCGCTGGCCGAAAACACGCCTGCGCTCGTCTACTCACGGGCGGGTCTCGCGCTCCAGCTGCTGTGGACGCCGCTGCTGCACCCGGCGCAGCTGGTCCGGCGGGCGGCGGCGGCTGCGCTCTCCGCGCTCCTCGTCCTCGTCGCGTCGCGCCCGTCGCACTACACGACACACTCGTACACGGAGTTGCTCGACACCGCCGCCGGCCACCTCGCTCGGCACAGCAGCGCGCCGCCTGCGCACCTGCACGGCGCCCTCCTCGCCGCCTCTGCGCTGCTGCGGCACGGCAGCGCCGACTTCTCTCCCGCGGCGTACGACGTCGTCGCGTCGGCGCTGCCGCGGCTGCTGCCGCTACGCAAGGACGCGACGCTGCACGTGTGCGCGCTGCAGACCGTCGCAGAGCTCGCCGCGTCGCCCGCGTGCCGCGCCGAGGTCGAGGCGCTCTCTCCGGGAGCGATGCTCGGAGAGGCGTCGAGGGCGACTGGCAAGCCCGGCGGCGACGGCGGCGGCGGTGGTGGCGGTGGCGGCGGCGGCAG